CAATCACCTCTCACGTGACATCCATACGTGCTTTATTAACATCTGACTTATGGATGAAAATAATAACCAAACCATTGCCACAAACTTAATAAATATTCACTAGCTTGTCATCTCATTTTGGTTAGCCCTCACTATTTGCAGTTATCATCTTAATTTTGAGTAATTTATGATGAGTTATATTTCGACTTTTATTTTTGTTAGTATGGCAGACTAACTACTCAAATAAATTAGCACAGTATACATGATCATCCAGAACGTGTATATAAATGAGATTATACAGCTGGTTGAATGAGTTCGTCTAAAAAAATGCTCTTCTTCGATTGCTTGCTCTTTTTCACTTTCTAAAAGGTATCTTTCGAACATATACGTGATAGTATTACCATTCAGTATACAAGATATTACTGGACTCAGAATCCACTATATAGAAATAAGAACTAGTGATAAACAGGCAAAGATGAAATAATACTACTAACATTTCAAAAAATCTAGTAGACTAGATTTCAGTCAAGTTATAAGTAGTATTTAGTATCATACATAAAGAAGATCTGTGTACAACAGTTGAGTTTGCCCGGGATTCAGATGATTTCAAGTAGATTTCACAACGAACTGATAAAGACCAAAAGGTATTAGACAGATGTTTGGTTCTAACTAAGAACTCATTTATTATTTCGCATGTTTGATCTAACCAAAAACTGAAATCACATCTTCCAGGTAACCATTGAGAACTACGTAGTACTAGATATCTGTTTGGTTTTAGTTTTGGAGTTTTCAGCAGTGTACATTCATGATCTTGTAAAGGATAATATCTAGGTTTATAATATTATATGACGATAACGTTGACATCCTATCTCTGCTCCAGAATTCAATGTTAAAAATGTTGAGTCTTCTGAACTCATAGGACTTTCTTAAGAGACGATCACTACATATTCGTTATGGCTGACTAACAAGTTACACAGTCTATACCGCTTTAACTCACTTTTCTGGTGAATATTTCTATCAAGATATTTACCTACATATTTCTTGAAATCTGAAAGGGTATTCTTAAGTCATGAACTCACTGGTGTAGGATTTTCCATAAAACTTGAAACTAATGATGCTGCTCAATTCTACCTAGAACTATGGGAGTTGGGATTGTTTTTGGCTTTACTAGGTATATGAAAATAAGTATAAAGTACGTGATACGCAGATTATAGATATAGAGCTTCTGTTTTGACTAGGCTCAGTTTCATCTTCAATACGCAGCATATGGATATTTCCGGAGATGGTGAATTCTTCGTGTTTTCTCTACTAATGGAGATTTGCTGAGTTTATTCCCACATTATTTTATGGTCTTCCGTTGTAGGTTTTGGATTATGTTAATAAACTCTATTCGACATACTATATTGAGACTGTTAAGCATACTGTCAAAGATGACTAGATATGTTTCTTAGATGACGTAATATTTGACTTGGTGTTACGACGCAAACTGTTTGGAGTTGGAGCCAGTTTGGCTGATCTATTAAGTTCTGGAAATGGATGTGTGAAACAACCTGTTTCCAAAAACTTCTCGTATTGAAAAACATGTCAAACAGTAATAAAACTGTTACACTTAGACTACATGAAGGTCAAAGTGTTGTAATAAAATGACAGTGCTTCTGAATGATATGATGAGATAAATCGAAATACGATGCAACAACAGTCTTTGAAAACACAGTGGATAAATAGCTTAAGAAACTTCTTAAGAGAGGACATGTTGACAACTATTCCTCATGTATAAAAAGGACGTAGTATCAACAAGAATCGGAGAAGGAACCAAGGATACGTTGGAAAGGATGTCACCTGTCAGTATGCTGATTAGAATTTACAACGCAACAAGCTCGTTAATTCTATATAAAGGAGATACATATCCTGCTTATATCAACTCGAGTAGCATTTACAAATTCACATGCACTTGTGATATCAAGTATATAGGTGAGATTGAGCGGAGATAGTCTACTATATTTTCTGAAAGGCAGGAAAGTGCTTCCAGGTACACTCGCTAGGCTTCAGAGTGACTCGGAACATGCAGTCTAAATTAGTCAGACATTCAAAATGATCAGTAGTTGGTGAGAACCTTGGTTACATCTTTTTACATTAGCCATTGATAGCAAATGACTTCAGTCTAACTTCTATACACTGAAAAATTGCGTTATTAACCTTTCACTATCGTAGTAACTACATCAATCTTTGTTTATTTTATGTGTCACCATTTTTCACTTGATTTTGATTTTCACTCGTTGAACTGAACTCATTATTAAGTTTTCAATTTTCCTAATTGTTTGTTTGTGTAGTAATTTTACTTTTACTCACTAAATCCTCTTACTCCTTCCCCCATTCTTAGCTCTATAACTCTATCCACCATATTATGTCTGGAAATAAACTCTGGATCTTCGAATGTTAACTATCTTGTATTCAAATCTATGCTTTCATTACTGTGTTAAGAATTACTAAATTTGATTTGATTTTTTTTTATTTTTTATTTACAGCTTGATTCCACACTGTATTTTTGGTACAAGTATGGAATTCGAGTTGAAATGTTTTTGAAATATGTTATACATTTAAATTTAAAATAACTTATGTTACTTTCTGAGTTTTTAGTAACTGAAGAAAAACCGTGAAATAAAATGAGCTTTTCTGTATCTTGTTTTTGTTCAAACTAATCAGGGCAAGCAAGTATATAAATGAATATTCGTTCCGGGAAGTCCTTTCAGTTCTATACTGTGGTAACATACGTAAATATAAAACTAGCATACATATACAGGTACATTTTTAACTGGATTCTAGAGGCAATTGGTTTGGATATTGACATTAGCATACACTCTTCGAGCATAGAATCCTTTGATGTTCTGATCTTAACGCACTGAATCACAGACATTGGACGGAAAAAAGAAACGATTTGTAACCACATGTTTGAGCAGGTTTCAAGGAACTTGTGGCTAAAAGGTGTAGCACTCCTCAGTAACGCGATCTCTTGTCACCCGATAGAAAATTGCGCGAAAGTGAAGTTTTAAAGTAATTAAAGTACTAGTCAGTTCCAGCCTGCTACGTATTTCCGTGTCAGTGGAGATCAGGAGATTGAAGCCTAACTTGTGCGTTCAGACTAGAATTACTACTAAATTTTCTCTACAATGGAGAGAAAACTTTATTTTGTTTTATTTCCCTTTTAGTACTTTAATCTTAATTTTGACATTGTCAAATCATGTTCCCTGATTTATTTTTTGTCTTCATCTGTACACTTCACTGGGGTATTTTTCATCTGTTCAACTTATTATTTTTGGTCACTTTAAATTATCGAAATTCAGGACTCTTAGGCAGCATGTGATGCTAACTTTTTTAAACCTCGGGTTAATGCCCCACTTTTATCCTTGCCTCTTTTAACTATTCCACTCATGCTGTGATAGCTTACTGAGAGCTATCATTCTTTCCTTTTGATTCATTACATTTAAATACCTAAATATTAATGGTCTTGAATTCCTACTTGAATACTTGATAGAATGGTGTTAAAATTGTTTAGGCTGCATGCTACTGACAAGAACTAACAAAAACAATGATATCATATTACACATAACCAGTTGCCTTTATTAGTTTAAACAAAGAAAAGGTAAACATATTTGCAGGATAATGCGAGATGAATTTATTGTTCATGCTTTGTTCACAATATAAAATTCAATAAACACCAACCCTATTGAAGACCAAACACATGACATTGCTTACAATCTGGTGACTGATAAATGTACCCATTATAGGCTTACAGGAGGTAAGCTGTGGACCCAAATAGCTCAGATAAGAAATATGGCGTGATCCAGTTACTCAATAAAGATCATTTATGTATAAAACTGTAAACTGCAGTGGTTACCTGAAGAAGTACAGTATAAACAAATTGCTTGATTCAAAAGCAAGCAAACAGTATGGTGAACTTAAGATTCCCCAGCTAAAGTAGTTAAGCCATGTGTTTAAGAAAGCTAAACTAATGAAGTATCTGTGAGTATCGCTCAACAAGACTTATGGATTATTATTTCATGTGTATTAATGACGTCTCTGATAAATATAATGAGGCATTCTGGTAAACAAAAGTGATCTTTTTGTTGATAGTTCAACATGTGTTCAGGTTGATCATACCGCATAGATTCAAGTTAGCTGATAAAAAGATTTAGATTCTTAGGAAAATATGTGGCTTTTGACAACAATGAGACAGAGTTGTTCAATAGCCGAAGACTTTGACGTTTAACTGTGTTGTATTGATAATTGTAAAGCTGCGAGGTTTATTCCATCCGAAGTATGCGTAACTGCCACTAGTTCCCTGGCAATATCTTCCCAAAATTGAAATAATCAGCCAAAGACAGCAAATAGATCATGAATTGGATATACAGTATGTTCAACAAAACCTTAGACTCTCAGACCACGTTCTCTGTACAACACATATCATAAAAACAGTTCCAAATTAACTTGAGCACTGAACAGTGCTGTTTTTGATTGCAGAACCGATTCGAAAGTGAAACCATGGTCTTCCTCTTGTAGCTGTAGTAATGAAAAGCACTTCATGGTACGATTTGGGAATTCATACACCCTTCTGTGGATATGAATGCTAACTGCTTTGGCTTTTTACTCTACTATCACTTGTGACTTCCCAATTAATTATGTTTGACTAATTTATCACGTTTTCTTATCAGAAACCTCTATGGCTTTCTGATAGTAAATCAAACTAAGAATAAAACTGAAGCAGCTAATTCAGTTTGTGCGAAATAAATTTCAAAATTAAATGAAGATTAATCTAGACTAAATTAAAACAGTTGTATTATCTATACTATTAGGAACTTGATATCACAATAAATGAATGTTTTCCGTTTTTAAGGCAAACAATATAATTTAAATCATCACATATATTTTTAAAGAAATTAACATTGTATTTGAAAATTAGATTGTATGTAGGTTCACTTAACATGATATAATTATGTACAATACATCTGTGAATGAAAAACATTGAACATTTGAACATGACTAACAGACGAAGGATTTAGCTCCGAAATTACAGGCAAAAGTGTGATACTAACTATGAAGGGTAACAGTGGCGCCAAAATGACTTTAAAATTCAAAGACAGAAACAAAGATCATAGAGAGTTTCATTTTCTCCTGATTACAGTCCATATTTTGTGTACATAACTTGAAAATTGTCTGCGCAATGATACTGTTGTCCCAATAAGTATACATGGATTTATACAACTACTTAATAGAATCAGAAACGGTCCCATTTGTTGACCAACTGTACCATAACTAAATATGACAATGTTTAACATTGTCAAGAAATAACGTATATTCTCGTATGAATGCAGTATAGCCTGTTGACTTGACATCAATGCAGTGATCACTACTAAACCAACTAACCTTTTATTCTCATTCGATGCATGGTCTACATGTTGTTGCAAACCATCAATATGTGAAATTTCAGCCACTGATAACGATTTGGTAGATCGACGTTGTCGCTTTTTCATCTGTATGACAATTAATGCATGACACATGGTAACAGTAATTAATGGAAGGATATATTGAAATATTAACCATGTATATCCTCGAAACGCAATGTATACATTTGAGTCTATTCCATCTGGTCCAGTCACATACGTACATGTACCATTAATAAAAAGTCGGAAAAATATTATCGGTACAAATAATAATCCTATCATACAGAATTCATAAATAGCAAACATTACAATTATTAATAATTGGTGTTGTTTATATACGATAGGAAATAATACAGCAATAAAACGATCGACTGAAATACATACAATATTGTGAACACTTAAAACAACACCTAACCAAAATGCAATATTATTTGACCATAAATAACATAATATCTTATCTATGAATAAAATTTTCGTCGGTCTACCATTCTCTGTTGCTGTATACATTGCGTATAAAAAGCACGCAGACATATCGAATATTGGTTGTAATCTTAGCATTAGTGTTGTTGACCTTGAACCAAAACGTGTTTTAAACACAACAAATAATGATAATGAATTTAATATAGCTCCAATAAATCCTTCAATAGTTATGATTACACGAAGTGGAAATTGAACATATAACATTGTTTTTTTCTAGATTTATATTAATCAAAAATGGCATAAAATAACGATATTTTCCACGGATGATTCTCTTCCATGAGGATTGATGCGGTTTGGTTTTTATTTCCAAATAAAATTGAGTGAAGTGATTTTTAAATCCTATGCTCACTTTTTTAAAGGAAACGCATTTAATGAATTAACTGGATGAGTTTTCACTGGGAAGAAATACCAATACGATTACTGTGTATTCACCAATCATATAACGCTATGATAAAACCCATAATCCTGATCCCGTTCTAAATATCCACCATATTTGATGAATTATTTTAAACAAAAAAGAAGAATGATGGATTATTATCTGAATTCATAATAGGTAAAACAAAAGAAAAACTGGCATCTAAATATCGCTTATTGTTTTCTCGTCAGCAGTTATTTAAAATATCTGTACGAATAACTTACCCATCGAATTCTACAATAACCCTCCGCTCCCCCACACTCTCCCCCTCTAAACTTGATGCTGAGATAAGGGAAAAATAATTAACGTTCTCATTTTGTTGATTAAGGGTTAAACGCTCAATAGTTATCTTGATTGATATACTTTTTTCAAAGGTTCCACATACAAGGTTTATTCTTTTCAGAAGACAGAATTCAAAAAATTATCTGATTTTACTATTTCAAAAACATGAGTGAATGTATCTGCCATGTTGTTGTGGATATAATCATGTTTAAATTTGAATTTATGTACACAGCCAGTCATTTAGGCGTATATGAATATCCTAATAATATGTCTCGTGTACCTCCAACCCAAAATATTGTAAAAATACCAGTTAACTTACAGGATAAATCATAATATGCGTAAAGAGTTAATTATATCATGGTGAAACTGTATAATTAGAAAATTCATCTGCTTGTGATGAATTTGTTTTTATGTTTTTAAAATCTATTTGTTGGTTGTGACCATTTTATCTACTGGGTTTATGGGACGTGGCATAGCGGTGGTGTACCACTAATGTAAGAAAATTAAATGTAGAATACAACAAAAATACAGCGACTTGTAAGAATTTTTCAAGTCTGTGGTTGATCATCTCTTGTCACAGTCATCACTCTCTAAACAATTACCACACTGCTCACAATTTTCAGCGTAGCGATTCGTGAAGAAGTGCAGTGATTCAATTTGTTACATTCTATGCAGCACATAATATGATAAACAGAGGAAAAACATGAAGATTTAACGATTCAGGAAGATTACAGAGGGTGAATTCATCTGCACCATTGAGGAAGATTTTGAGCCATATTACTGATAGTCACATTTCATTGCTTCTAAGCATCCCGGTATCTCTAGCAAAGCAATCTAAAACTCTCTACTTAGTTCATATCAACTATCGAATACTTGAAGGTTTGATGCCCCATTTTGATATGACCACCTTTAATTATTTTTCAGCCTTATCCTGTGTCAGATGAAATTGCTCATCGAGAAACGCGGTGGTTCAGCATGAACAATACATATCCTAACCATTTAAATTTACCTAGTTTCACAACGCCATCCATTGACTTCTCTTCCCTACATGGCATTCTACTCATAACCTCAATATTGCTCACTATATTATGGAAGGTAAACATCAAAGATCAACGACAGCTAACGTTTTCATATCTTCTACTTTCAATGACACTGTCTCACAGCCACAAAGAAGGACAGAGCAAACTGCCGGGCACTACACATTTGCTTCGATGGTTGCCGGACCTCACGTCAACAGACTCTACCGTTTCACTCTCTGTCCTTAAGTTAAGAGTCAGTCCAAACCAGTCGTGCTGCTTCGTCTTACATTTGACAGGAGCGACTCGCGTACTGAACATTCCAAGATTTCTTCTCAGGGTATTCATAAGATTCTGTATTTTCAGGATTTCATCATGAGCTGACATTAGTTAGAGAACCATTGGAAAACCTGGGAGTACTGGACAGCTGTTTCGTCCTAGTTTGGGACTCTTCAGCAGTACGCACCCACCGCCACCGTTCGAACCCAGGACCTTCCGGTTACAAGGCGAGCTCGTATACCATTAAGCCACTGAGACCCGATCCAATGGTCCTTGAATTCTAACTTCTGCCAATTCACGACATAGCTTAATGGTATACGAGCTCGCCTTGTAACCGGAAGGTCCTGGGTTCGAGTCCCGGTGGGTGCGTACTGCTGAAGGGTCCCAAACTAGGACGAAACAGCTGTCCAGTACTCCCAGGTTTTCCATTGGTTCTCTAACTAATGTCAGCTCATGATGAAATCCTGAAACCAAACAAATCCCTACAAACCATCACTTGAATACTCTGTATTTTGTTAGTGTCTTCCTCGAGAAGGACAGTAGTGTCCGCTTAAAATAAGTAAAGACTGTTCCCTGGTAACAAGTCAATCCCTAAGTTGCTAGAGTTATTTATGGTCAATTTCGTTAGTACATCTATGATGAAATAAAATAGAAATGGTAACAGTGGGCAGCCCTGATAGATACCACTCGTTTTCATCCCTGCAGATGAGAACTCTTCATAAGCTCTTGTACTGCTGCACGGGTTCGAGTAGAGTGGATTGTTTGGGTTAAGTTCACTCTGAAATGAAAGTGAGGGGTCATGGCTCACTGTTTGAAACAACATGATCAATTTATCGGTCATATATTCAAACAACAAAAACGCTGAACTACTAAGTTGCTTTTATAGCACGGTGGTTGGATTACAAGGGTAATAAAATATTTCAACAATGGACCTTAATGATTCTCGTGAGATCTTTTCCTCTGCTTCCTTAAGGTTCATAACTAAATTAAATTATCGTATAGATATATTGTACTTATCTATTATATTTATGTTAAATGCTCAGTACTATAATACTCCCTTTGATGTATGAATTACGATAATCCCTCTGATAATCTTAAAGTAAAATGTGTTCTGATCATTACAGTTATTAAGAAGTAATTGATCTAGTGGACATCCATTAATTAAATTTGTACACTATTATGTCTATACGCCAATTAACTCAGAAGATTTTTCATGGACCTTTCTTAATCTTACTGGTCTTAGTTTTGGTGTGTCAGTTTTCTCCTACCTAAGTGGTTTTCAAAGTTGCAAAAAAGCACCTAGCAACTTCATCATCCTATAATGAAACTGATAAATTCCATATTCGATAAGTTTATTTGATATAATAATTAGTGATGCAGTATTAATGACTGCATCCCTCCGAATCTCTGATTAGAAGCTGTAGTAAGTGAAACTGAGCAAATCAGGTTTAAAAACAGTTACTTATCTTTGATGGTTGGTGATACTCTTACTGACTGTTAGTTTGAGAGAGGTATCAAGGTGTAGACTACCTCGTTGGAGTCCACGAAATGCTAAGAATCATTGCTTAGAAACTATTGATCACATGAGTCTAAATCATTCTCAGTGGAGTAGATGTAGTCACTCCTTTTTACCTGCCAAATTCCTAAAATCATTAATAGTCGTCATCCACTTATTCTTTCTTCTACACACTTCCACTGACTATAGCGTGTTTTCTCAAAATGTGGCAACTAGAGCTTCTGCAGTTTTGTGCAGAGTTATACGGTGAATAATAGTTTCTGTGAAGCAAACGATTTGGGTAAGTATAATACTTCTAAGTAACAATTATTTAGTACTACTCTGGCAAGTAGACTTCTCTGTTCTGTTTCTGTGTATTTTACTGAGCCATAATTTTGTTTTTGATTACAGCTCACCGAGCCTAATTCACTATTAATCTTTGCTGTTTGTAAACGTAATAGTCTTACTTCTGCCTACCCTTTCTTCTCAATTCCATCTTTACCTCTCAAACTTTCCATCATATCATATATAAAGTCTAGTTGCTCGACTATTAACTGTATTCTGTTCATATCTCTTATTCCACAACTATGACTTTGAAGTTCAAACAATTCCGAAGTGTTATTTATTTACATTTCTAATAACTTGTTCATTTTAGGCTGTTAACAGCTGAATATTGTCCATGAATCTGTTCTTCCTTGCTTTGTTCAAACTGATAAATAGAAGTGGGTGTGTGAAAGACTAACAGAATCCTGAATGTCGTCGGGCTACATGTGATAGGCAAGTAACTACAATTCGGACAAAATAATCCCATTATGTTTAGACAGGATGGCGTCATGCTGAATACCATTTACTACACAAAAGCATATCACTTTTTGGGAGTTGGTATTGAGACTGATACAAATCTATTCCAGTCTTTTTATCTGTTAATAGTCTTTCTTTTCCTTCCTTCCTTCCTTATAGTGAATAATTACTACTATAACTCACTATCGGATAAAAACATGGAACCAGATCACGTAAAATAATTTTTCTGTTCTTAGGCACCTTTGCATCAGAACAATACAAGTTGACATGTTTAGGATAGTAGCTATTTGAAAATTGTGATTCTGCTTAAGATACGTGTATTTACCATGAAAAGGTCGCTTAAACTTTTGACCTAAACTTAATTTTTTCAACATACATATTACACTATTCATCGAGTAAACGGTAACCAAGTGAGACTCTTGCATATGATTTAGAATGGCCTTATTGTTAAGAACCAACGAAGAGAAAAGCAAAACGCTGAACTCTAGGAATTTCATAAATACCTTCTTATTCTTCTTCTTCAGATTCATGAAATAATTCAAATCAGAAAGTGTTTGTCTTTCCACACCTTAGTTTCATACATACCCCTTTTAGACACTAAAATATTGCATGAACTTTGCATAGGGCATGTGACTGTATTTCATTTAGAATTATAAAAACAGTATTCAAGCTTGTTTTATTAGAGGTTCAGAATAACTCACTTTTGAGTAATGAATAGACAATTAGTGCCAAAAAGGCATTGGTTTCCGGAATAACCTTATAACCAGTCAGTTTTTCCTTGATGTGAGAAAAGTTTTATATTTACTATTTATAACCTTTCTCTAAGATAAAATATTTCATCTAACAGTAAGATAAACCAGTTGTATGAACCCGTTCATTTTAGCCTTTCTCCATTTTGTCTACCGAAACATTTTATTTTTCCATACTTATATTACCCATACTTTGCAGATTTCTTCTGAGAGATCCGGAGCGGTAACTGAGATCGATTAACTGATCAAACGTTTGAGTTACACGACAAAGTCAGAAACACTGGATTTATCTAAATTACTATATATATATATACATAATTATCCCCTTGGGTTCAACAACACACCTACACTTTTTTCCACTTTCTGTTGTCCTCTTCGGCTGGCTTCACGATTGCTCATAATCTCCTCCTTTCACGATTTCCTCTGTGTCACCCACGAACGAT